GCGCGGGCTGGAAGTGGAGCCCGCAGCGCCCGTTTTTTCGGGCGGGGTGAGCTAAACTTGTCCTTGCTGCCCCCAGCTCGCCGACCAGTTCTGCAATGCCATCGGCGTGCTGCAGCAGTGCGGGCCGCCCGCCTCCTTCAGCAACATCCAGACGGCCATAAACAAGGACCAGCCCGCCAACCCCACCGAGGGTGAGTCCCAGCCTAGGCCTCGCGCCGGGAGCACTTTGAGCCAGCCTTTAAAGAAGCATGATGCTCTGTGGCACGTTTCAGTGCCTCTGTGGGTGTTGCGGTTAAAGTATATTGCCAACTGATCGTGGGTTTTTTTGTGTGTTTGGTGTGTATTTTCCTGAGAAAATTTTGCATGTGTCTTGTATCAGATTGGATTTGACTATTGGGAGCTCAGTGACGGGCTTTTCAAGAGAGCTCTTGCCTCGACCTTTGTTGATCTGCTCTCTCGTTGGGGGATCGGTTGGAGATGTGAGCTGGAAGTTTTGCTCACTTCCTTTATGGTACTAGCTGCTGCCCCAGATACCTGCATCAACATGATGACTTTGGAGCTTGGAGGTTTATTAAGGGCTTAAAATGGGTGGCCGTTGTTTTGTTTTGTCTTGTTTTGAAGCTGCAAATAAAGTGAATTCAGTAAACTTCTACAGCCATGTTAGCGATGCTGATTAGACCAAACCAAAGTCTTCAGATATCTAAAGACTTAGTAAAAAGGTCTTAAGACTTTGTGCGTGCAACATTTATTAACAGACTGAGGGTATAAATGTGGTGACACTGAGCAATGGATATGAGCCTTAATGGATATGTTTCCTTTAAAGTCAGGTGTACCTTTGAGAATGTCAGTCTCTGCTATGTTTTACCACAACAAAATATTTTGTCTTGCTGCATGAAAGATCACTGGAAACAGTCCACGTTTTGTGGCTAAGTTAAGATCTTTTACAAACCTATATCTTTCCCCTTTCTGAGTGATAATTTAACTTTTCCTGTGGCCATTTTTTTCCCCTCAGAAGATCTTACTCTGGACAGTGAGGTGGATTGAGAACTGGCTGGATGGCAGAGCTCAGAGGATGGTGACAAATGGGGCCAAGTCTAGTTGGAGGCCTGTGGCCAGTGGTGTGCCCCAGGGGTCAGTACTGGGCTCGGTGCTGTTCAACTTGTTCATCAATGATTGGACGAGGGCACAGAGGGCACCCTCAGTAAGTTTGTGGATGATAGCAAACTGGGTGGAGCGGCCAATACTCTAGAGGCCTGTGTTGTCGTCCAGAGGGACCTGGACAGGCTGGAGAGTTGGACAGAGTTGAACCTCATGAGGTTCAACAAGGACAAGTGCAGGGTCCTGCACCTCAGGAGGAGTAACCCCAGGCTCCAGTACAGATTAGGGGTTGACCTCCTGGAAAGCAGCTCCGCAGAGAGGGATTTGGGAGCCCTGGTTGACAACAAGTTAACCATGAGGCAGCAATGTGCCCTCATGGCCAAGAAGGCCAATGGGATCCTGGCCTACATCAGGAGGAGCGTTGCCAGCAGGTCGAGGGAGGGGATCCTGCCCCTCTGCTCAGCTCTGGTGAGGCTGCACCTGGAATATTGGGTGCAGTTCTGGGCTCCCTAGTAGAAGAGGGATGTGGAGCTTCTGGAGAGGGTCCAGCGGAGAGCCACGAAGATGATTAA